CCCCCCCCCAGCCCCCTCCAGTCTGCGCTCGGCTCGGCCGCCTCTCCTGCCCAGGCCTATGAGACTTACATCGATAATGGGCTTATCTGCCTCAAACACAAGATCAGGAACATCGAGAAAAAGAAGGTAATTTGCTTTTCTTCGCTGTGGCACGGCTTTAAGTTGCTAATTGTGAAGCTCAGTGCCTATTTGATAATGGCTGGGTTAAGGTTATGCGTGTGCGTTTTTTAAATAATCTGTGAAAGGACCTAAGTATGGATTTGCTAGTGCTTTTTATTATTGTCTGTAGCTCCCATGTAGTAAAGAGTGGTGTTCCTTACTGTTCTGAGCTGGGCTGCTTGCGTTTGACATGGTGTGAGCATAACATTGTTATTTCAGGGAATCAGTGCACCTAACTGCAAGCCTGTTCTCAGCTGCCAGCTTTACAGTGCATACTCGGTAGTTAGTTAACAAAAGTAACTGAGTGTTGATAAAAACTGGGAATGCTTCTCCAGTAGGCTGAATCAGTTCAAAACTAACTTGGAACTGATTTGGAGATGGTTTATAGCCTTGTGGGAATCTTTGTGTTCCTCCTATTGATTACATCCTAATATTAGATGCATATAGAAATGTATGTAAAATTGGAAATTAGGATCAGGGTTTTCCTCTGACTCATGGAAATGTCAAATTGTATTAAATATGTATTGCACTTCACTTTGCATAAATCTTTGACTTCTGTATGTTAAATATAGACAAATGTTATTAACTTGAAAGCTTTTAAACAAAGCATCCAAAGCCTGCTCTCTTGCTTTGGAGTGCTTTTCTGGGATGGAGGGGACAGAGCAGTGTTAAGAACTAAGGTAACTGTACGCCTATTGGGGATATAGCTGGTCAGGCTTTTGCATTCTGAGATTTTTCATTAGGTTGGTAGGTGACTGAAGGTTATGTGCATACATTTTAAAAGGGAAAATGCTATTTCCTGTAAGAGAAAAGAAATAATGGTGTTCTTGCTTTTGGTACTGGGTCAGGATTACAAGTAAAGCAAATACATTAATATGCTGTGCTTCTCTAAGTGTCTGAAAAGCTTTGTGCTATGTCTTAGGGAGTAAAGAGAGAGTAGATCAGTCTTCTGGCCATATGGCTAGGGAACTGGATCCACCTGCAGGAGATGCAGTATTACTGCTGTCTCATGTCATGCATCATGCTCTAACTTTGATTAATGTCAGTTAAGGTTTTCCTTGTGTGATTAGCCAACTTTGTCTTGTATTCTAGTTGTGACCAAGGAAGCATGTTGTTGTGGATTTCCCAAGTATCTTTGATTAGTCCATATATATGACAGTATGCCCTCACCAGCAATTGAAAAGTGTGGCTTACTAGAATGAGTAGGAAGTATTCCTTGTCCTAGGCTTTTGTAGGTGCTGTGTCTGTAGGCCCTATGTGGGCAGTTACATAAATGAATTAGTATTCAACTTGCTTTCTTTTCCTTGTGTATATAAAGAATACCTAATAATTTGTTTCTCTAATAGTGTGCATGCCTAGTAGTTGAGTCTTGTATAGTTTACAACAGCTTTTAAAGACTGTTTCAGTATGTTAGAAATAAATCTCATTTCCTGAAGATACTAGTCCACTTTCCTAGGAAGCAGTGCTATGAAATTGTGATGACATAAATGAAACTGGACTTGGAAAGTTGTGCTCTGGAAATTTAAGTAGGATTATTCAGGGATAAGAGCTGAATTCTAGCATTGACTTGGAAAAACCTAAAAAAGTCTAATTTAAAATGAGGATATGGGATGTGTTTGGAGCCAGTTAAAGATCTAGGGTCAATGCATTACTACTTAAATAAAACAAAGGTAGAAAGTAAGAAATAAAAGAACAAAGAAAGGGAAGCAGGGAGTCCTGGAGTCTGAGACTGCCAAATGAAAGGTATAGATAAGCTTTCTATATTAATTTATCCTGAAATAGAGAGGAAGTAGTAAAATTCCTGTTTGGCAGTATATAGGTAAAACATGGAAAGAATATGTAACTTGTAGCCCATATTCCACATCAGATGGAAATCAAAATAAGACTTACTTTGCATTTTCCTACAGCTCAAACTAGAAGACTACAAAGATCGTCTGAAGAAGGGGGAATCTCTCAATCAAGACCAGTTGGTAAGTTGCTTTATGCAGGAGTGAGTGGCCTCAATCTTGAAACATGTCAGAAGGGGTAGGTTGCTGAAGGAGATGTTGGTGTAGTTTTACAAGAGTAAAGTCTACAGGCTTGCATTAGTGTTTTTTTTCCACAAAACCAAATGACAAATTACTGGTAGTTAAATTGAATGATGAACCCACAAGCATGAAGTCTCCTACTTTAAACTTCACGTTGTGTACTGAAGTAATAGAAGGTCCTTGTTTATCTTTGTGTAAACTTTCAGCTTCATTGCTCCTACACTTATTCCATTTTGAGGTTGTCTGTATGCAGCTTATCTACAAGGCATTGCAGTGTTTGAACACAAACCTCTAAACTTCTGGTGTAGCTAATTGATCCTCATGACCTCATTAACAGGTGTTACTTTAAATTGCCTGTTGGCTGCATAGTGCTGTTGGTTACAAGTAGCTGTTAAAGTATAAATGTCAAACAGTTCCTGTTGGTATTGAGGAAGACACTGGTTTAACTTGCATGAGATCTATAAAGCCTTCCCTAACATAGGAATCTAGCTAGGAGTTTTAGTTATTACTCTCCTGTCCTTTAATGCTGCTATTAGATGGCTGGGAGTTGCCAGCATTCTCAAATGGTGTTAGAACACTATTTTTTTACCTAAGGTTGCTAGAGTTTGGAATGCCAGGATGCAAGATTGCTACTCAACAATTGGAATGCGCTTTGTGGTTCTGGCTTTTTTGTCTTGGACTAGAATGGATTCTAGAGCTGACACCAGGTTTCTATAATATGGAAGCTATTGCTTCTTCGGCATGCCCAAGTAGCAGTGGCATGTCATCCAAAGGGTTTGTTGCTCTAGTCACGTAGGAGTCATGTTCTTAAAATACACTACACATGCTAAAGAACAATAGTGTGATAAAGGGCAGTGACACCTCAGTGGTAGTGCTCATCCTGCTAGTGAACCAGCTGGAAAAATACTTCGTTGTCTGTTAGCTTTGTCACAGTGCAGCAGTATGAGAACACAAATACTGTTTCTGTGAGTTATTTGTAAATGAGAACTGGACATAAATAGCATAAGAGGGGAAGTGATATCTTGTTATTTAAAAGTAGAGTAGACCTTTGGAAGTGTATGATCATTTAGCACTTAACTACAAAATCTGGTGTAGTCTCCTGTTATCTCAAGTGCAAAAGGTGAGCTAATTAAATGTGATGGTTTGAAGTAGGATTATGACCTTTTAGTGCTTCTAAATTCAATGTGGAATCAGGTGGGCAAGAGCTTTCTGCATTCAAATCATAGGTGCTTTAACTTTTTAAGTATTAGTCTTTTATTGTAGTTTGAGATCTCATGCTTCTAAAATGGGGAATTCAATCTCACTAGTGAACTGACCAGTTGTGTTCCAGCTGTTCTGATGACTATTGTAGAAGCACATATTAACTCAGTATTAAATCTAGTCTAGACCTCTGTTTTAGACACAGAAATAGTGCATTTGTACCTTGCAGATACAAATTCCTAATGTATATACAAATACCAGGTGTATGGTGATTGATGCTAGAGCAGAGCTTAGTAGTTTGGTTTGCCTAAAGAAACCCAACTGCCTATAATATAGTGGAGCTCTAATGTAACTTGATGCTATCTATTTTTAATTGTTTCTCACACAGAAGTGCACATCTGGTGATGAACTCATTTTACAAGCAGCTTAGATTAAGCTAAGTACTTAATGGTACATGGCTGCCAGAGCTGCTCTGTGTGCTAGCCTTACTCTAGGCAACATTTGTTTCAAAAAGGAGGAGCTTCCAGAGTTAAATGTTCTCGCTGGCAATACTGTGCTGTTTTGCAAGCTGAGCAGACTTTCCTTAGTAGTTACTCCAACATGCTGCTAATGAATGTTAACAACAGGTGTGACAAAAGACAGCTATTGCTTTCCTGCAGGGCGAGTTACAGCTTGTCATCAGAGCAGTGGTAACTGTTCTTAGTGTTTTCAGGTAGGGAGTTTTATTTGGGGATTTGCATGATTAAGAGCATATTTACTGCAATCTATCTAGTAAGTTGTTGGTGTTAAATTGTGAGTCTTCCTTGAATGTTAAATCCTCCCATGTGCTAAGTGAACTTGCTAATTAGTTCTTAAAAGTTGCTTGTTAAATTGTGTGAGGACAACTACCAGATGAGTATTTTACAGTAATTAATGCACTTTGTTGTGATGAGTAGCATTTAGGCCTAGTAATGTCTAGTATACTACAAAAAATTGAATGCAAGTAGCTGAACAATCAAACTAATTGAGTAAATAAACATGTAACTTGTTTTCCAATTGTTTAGGAGTACACATGGAATTTGCACATGTCCCAGGTCTTATTGGGACAGTAGATTAAATTTTTGGCACTGCACTGGTGAAATGCTTTAACACTAACACTACTTTGAAAGAGTGTTATAGTAGACTGACAGGCCCATTCTAGAAAATCTTCTCATATGTTGTGAGCATAAAACAGTGTAAAACACACTTTAACAACAGAATTAAGCTTAACTTTTTACTTCCCAGGCACAGAATCATATCATTGTTTTGGTTGGAAAAGACCTTGAAGATCATCAAGTCCAACCATTAATCACATCTATGTGTTTTAGATGCCTCCAGGGATGGTGACTCCACCACTTTACTGGACAGCCTGTTCCAGTGCCAGACAATCCTTTCAGTTAGGACATTTTTCCTAATATTTAAGCTAAACCTCCTCTGGCACAAGTTGAGGCCTTTACCTCTTCTATCACTTACTACTTGAGGGAAGAGACTAACCCCCGCCTTCTCATTATAACCTCCTTTCAGGTAGTTGTAGAGAGTGATAGTCTCCCCTCAACCTGCTCAGACAAAACAACCCCAGTTCCCTGAGATGCTCCTCATAAGACCTGTGCTTTGCTCTAGACCCTTCACCAGCTTCATTGCCCTTCTCTGGACTTGCTTCAGCACTTCAGTGTCCTTGTAGTGGGGGGTCCAAAACTGAACATAGTATTCAAGGTATGGTCTCACATGGGCAATGTCTGAACGACAGCATTTTGCTATCTTCAGAGTTGTCAAGGAGACATGTAAAAATTATCTGACTTATTAGTGGGGAAGAACTCAAAAACAGAGTATACCAAAATGCAATTAATAATCTTAAGTAGTCTTTTTGAAGATTGGCTAGTAAGCTATTGGGTAAAGCCATTGGTGGAAACAGGGACATTTGTGGAAACTAAGTTTTGAAGTCTTTTTTTCTGAAAGTATGGCTTGTCTTCTGTTTTCTCTTCAGGTATGTACAAATGATCTGTAAAAGTATTCAGCTGAGCATCAGGGTAAAATATCTATGCTGAATTTATCTCCTGCATTCCTTCCAAGAATGTTCATACCAGTGTCTTGATTTTAAGTAGCTGTTTACCTCTTATTGCTGGGACCTATGGGAACAAAAAGAAAAATGAAATAACTGGTGTCCAGGCTTTCCTGTTTCAATACTGTTAACAAGAAGTTGCCTGGGAAGTCTAATACAGGCAGACTTGTAAGATATCTGTGCAGTGGTGTGAGCTGACTTTGTACTGCATCTCAGTCAGGAGTGAATGGTATTCATGACAAAATTTCTAATGCTAGTTAAAGACATAGAATCTTCAAAGAAGTTACAATTTAAGTTAACTACACACTAAATGACTAGTTTTAAATGAGAAGCTGGCTACAAAGGGATGCAACCTGTAGTCCTAAGCATGAAAATACACATTTTTATCTATTCATTTTTAGGAGGCAGTAGAGAAATATGAAGAAGTAGTACACAACTTGGAATTTGCCAAGGAGCTTCAGAAGACTTTTTCAGGACTTAGCCAAGATGTAAGTATAAAATGCTCCTCCCTATATTGTCAGGAGGTAACTGCAAAGTTTGTGCTACTCTTCAAATGACTACACTTGTATGCTGATATGCAGAATACTGGGAAGCTTCAATCTTGGAACTTGAGGGAAAAATGTGCTTAAACTATCTGGAGTAGTGAGTAGGGCAGAGTAACTGCTGATAATTCTGTGTACCACTGACCTCCAGATGTAGTTATTCACTGTGTCCCCCTGCAAGAGCTTATGCTTAAGTCAATTTGAGTAATTTAAACTCAGCTAAGTTTAGGATTATTCCAGTTTATTTAGGTTTGAAACAGTTAATCATCTTGCTGATGGCTTGTGCCTGAGGTGGACTAATACCCTGCAGAGGTGCAGACTGGTGGGAGAGTAGCTCTACTGGGTAGGACATACAGGGCCTTGTGGGCAGCAGGCAAAATAAAGTGTAGCTCTGGAGCAGTGAAGGCTAGACTGAGTATCAGTAAATTAAGGAGAACTGATGATCTGATATTTGTTACCCAGTTGTCTATTTCTGGTCACTTGGTACACAAAGGCTATAGATAAACTTCAGTGAGTCCAGTGGTGGGCCTCTGACTGGATGGGGGCTGGAGCATGAGACTGTGAGCAGAGCCTGGAAGAATTTGGCTTCTTGGGACAGGTGAAATAAAGACTTTATAGGAGCTACTACCTTCAAATACCAAAGTGATGACTGAAAAGATGGATCCAGGCTTTTTATTGTGCTAGGAGAAGTGATCATGAATTGAAATAGTAGGTTTCAACTACATAGGCAGAAAAATGGTCACTCTGAAGATAATTAAGCAGTAGAGTGAGCTGCCTGGAGAAGTAGTAAAATCTGTTCTTGGATCTTTTCAAGACCTGACTGTGAAAAGCTCTAAATAAATTGGTCTTTGTTTCAGTGTGGCCTTTGTTCTGGAGGTTGGACTAGATGATCCAAAGATCCCTTCCATAATGAATGTCTTGGTGTTTCCCAGTGAGGGAATGTGCTGGGGTTAAATCACTTTGGCTTCAATGAGAAGTATAGCTCTCAGTAAAATTTTACTGAAGCTTGTGGAGTTTGCCATTTATTTTGCTATAGTTGTCTCTATTTATGGCAAGTCACAGATTTAGTGCTTTATTTAGGTATTTATTCAGGGTTTAAAGCACTACATATATTATTTTTATGTAAGCAAGTGGTTTGGGAGAAACTGGTCTCTTGGCTCAAGCAAATATTATCATTATGAAAAGATCTTATCGAAGGTAGTACTGGGAATTCTAAACATGATTAGTTACTGCTCTGGCATTATTTCTCTGCCTCTTGCAGAATGTTGAAGGACTGGTAAAATGGCTTGTCTCAGTGTTGCCTGAAACACAGATTTGCTAGAGAGACTTTTCTTGTATATTTAGGAATTCCAGCTAGTGCAGTAAATCTCTCAAGGCACTATGTGAGCAGATATTTAAGAGCCTTTTCTGCAGTGTTGCTGCTTTAGGTTCCCTAAGTCATTGTATATTGAACATGGAAACTACTGTGCTGAATGTAAAACTTGGATTGGTTCCTATTGCTTCCCTCTGTGTAGCTGCTCATAAAATATCAGAAACAAAGGATTGTGACTGTTCTCAGTAATCCAGCATTAAATTCTACCTGTTCGTGTTTGTTCTTGAACTTATGTGACATGTAAAGGCTAACCCACTTTTTTCCTTGGCTCTACTTCTTCCAGTATGGATTCTACAGCCAATACCCATTACTGGAACAGTAGGAGCCATTCTGGTAGCAACATCCTTATATCCTTTACAGCATGTTTTAAAAAACTACACTTTTGTAGGTCTTGCAAAGAAACTTAGGATACCCCATATTGAGGCATTTTAAATTCTGAAGCTACTTGGATAGCTTTTTCTGCATAGTTAGTACATAATGAAAATTTTCTCCTCAGATGCATGAGGGCTGTGTGTTTTGTGGCTTGTGGTATTGCTTATTTAATGACTTCTTTAGTCTTATCCCAACAGAATAAGAGGAACTGTAGGATTCTGCTGTATCATTTAAATTGGAGTATTCAGAAGTGAAAAAGCAGTTGTCTTACTATGAGAAATTTGAGACAACTTCTCTATCACTAACTTCAGGTGATAAGTGTGATCAGCTAGGCTTGGATTTGTGCACTGGTATTAACTATTAATTCCTTGTATTAATTCTGAAAGCTGTTCTAATCAAGCAACTACCAGGCATAATTAGGATCTAAGTATCATAAAGGTGTATCAAAGTGAAGATACCAGTATCCAGTTTGATTAAAAGCTAAATGTGTTGAGACTTAATAAATAAATCAGGATCTCTGCCAGAGGAGGAGCTTGAAAGATCTGGGTATCTGTTATCTAATAAAAACAAATTTAGTTATTTTGATCAATGTAGGGTGGTCAATACCAGACTCAATGTGTTTTGTCTTAGAATCCTTTACTAAACCACTGTGTTTTAACTCCTGAATTCATGTTTTGAAATAGCTGCTGAAAGCACAGAGGAAGGCTCAGCGAAGAGAGAGTCTCTTGAAGCTTGAAGCAGAGAAGAAAAAACTGCGTACAATACTTCAAGTCCAGTATGTGCTGCAGAACTTCACTCAAGAACACGTTCAGAAAGATTTCAAAGGTGGTATGAATGGTGCAATATATTTGCCTTCTAAAGAACTAGACTACCTCATAAGATTTGCAAAACTGACATGTCCAGAAAGAAATGAGAACTTGAGGTAAGCTAGATTTTTGTTTACTTGGTATGCTTCATTCATTACAGTAAATGTCCTCTGCTGCCTTGTCTTGAAATATATTTTGGGAAACTAATTGAAGTTCTATCAGCACACATGCTTTAGTCTGAGAGTAGGAATGTAGTAAAATTACCTCACTTTGAGCATTAAAGGAAAGCTGCAGTAATGACAGCCTCAGTTGTGGAAGATACACACAAGCCCTGCCATCATGTGTCTCCATGTGATTGAGGGCAGATAGTCCAATACCATCACAAACAGGTGTGTTGCTTCTGAGGTATCCCTGTTCATGACATGAAAGAAATGCAGTAAACACAGGAGAACTCTTCTGTATTTCATTCACATCATGATCCAGATGTGCCTTTTTATTTGAAGGAGTGTAAGGTGGTAACTCTGAGGCTGTTCTCATTGTATTAGACTTCCACAAGATGCATAATCCTTTTCTTTGGGATATTAAATTTCATCATGGTGGACTTAAATTCATTGTCTGGAGGGGGTGGAGTGGGTCATGGACCTATGTTTGTTTCTCAGTAGAGTGGCTGGAGCTGTTGATGGTTGCCACAGCACATGTACACCCAATAAAGTGGTCACTGATTAACAGCAATTGTTTCCTTGTCTGGGAGTCCTGGCTTGCAATGAAGTCCCGCCATGTGGTCTCGTGGGGCAGTGCTAGGCTCTCTGACCTGACTGTTACCAACAAAAGAATTTATATTTGCTAGATTGAATAATGAACGAACAGATAGAGGTGAATCACTTCTGTAGTGGATAATGGGTTTAGGATTCACTGTGTATACAGCCTTAATTTGGTAGACTAAATGTTAGTGTCTTAAAATGAGGGTTATGGGGATACTACAAGACTTGATCTTTGTTATGATTCTACCTGGTAAAACTCATTTGTTTTAGTGTGGAAGACCAGATGGAGCAATCATCTCTTTACTTCTGGGACCTTCTAGAAGGAAGTGAGAAACCTGTGGTTGGAACAACATGTGAGTGTCTCATCTAGAGAAGTATCTTAGATCTGAAATTTGTGTGCTATTTAAACTTCTTAAAACAAATTAATATATGTGGTAGGATATTAAATGAAGCACTTTCTAGTGCTGTTTATGCAGTTAGCCAGGTATGAACTGCTGTTTGTTCCAAGTTAAGTACAGATACAAAAAATACAGTGAAACTTAACCTGGAAAAAAAGGTGTGTTCTTCTACCAATGTAGTAGCGCCTTTTTGAGATATAATGATGGTAGAAATTCAAAAGCTGATGCAGTAATACTTATTGAATCAGCAGTGGGAAGCTTTTGGGATGGTTATGTACAAATGAGTTAAGACTTGGCACATTGTTCCCAGCCATGAAACGCTCAGTTGAGTATACTGATGTGTATTACAAAGCTTCAGTGGCCCCAGGCTGGAGGTCTCACATTGAAGATTCTTATAGGAGTTTCAGGTTCATAGCCCTTGTCCAACTACAGTGCAGGATACCACGCTGAGGAAGAATAGTAATTAATGGAACTTCTTCTGATCTCTAATCACATACAGTGCAATCTTGCTTTGACCTGTTGCAAATGTCCTCATCTTCCAAGCATGCCAGAATCTGCAGGACTGTAAATTTTTCTTCCATCTGTGTTTTTTAGTTTCAAACTCTGGTTGTCAGCTAATACACATATTTTATGTTCCTATTTAGAACCTGCTATGAGAAGACTGTCCTTTCTTGAGTAGTGTCTTTCCTGTTGCAAAGAGACCTTGCTTAACCCATTAACTCTAGTCTTGTAATGGTTGTGTGGCAGTAATCTTTCTTTTGTCATTGACAACAATGCCATTGAAGTTATGTCACTTTCACATGCAGATAACTGAACTGACAACTAAGTGTTAACTCTTTATGTTGTTCTGGACAGAGTTCAAGCTGGCCTAGTAATGGTACAGGAAGGTAACTGTAGCCTTGCATCTGTTGATATGAACTGATAGTTGCCTGGTGATCTTGGACTCTTAGGGGTTTTTTTTAGCTTTTTGACTATCATCTTAACTTTTGTGACTGTTTTGTCAGTATCTTTAGTGTGAGTCTTTCATTCTTTTATGTGCTTCAGATAAAGCTGTTGTGTCTTCTCATTAGCATTAATTGCCTAGGAAGGCAATTTGTCATTTGTATTAAGTTGTAGCTACTTTTTAAATGGTTGTTACTGGTAGGAGTGGTCTTCTGCTGAATGTTCTTCCTGTTCTCAAGGCTACCCTGTCTAGCTCCTCTGAAACAATTTCTTGTAGCACTGCTACTTCTGAGGTCTTACTGTCTCCTCTAAGCTTCTCCTTGGCATAAATAAGGGAACTACATACTGCTTGTTGGAAAGAGTACACAGTTAAATTTGTCTGCAACTGTCAACTGACTTTTTTCCAGAAGTTCAGTTTGGAGCAGTCTTTCTTTCTCCTTCCTTGTTTTTGCAGTTCTCAACTTTTCCTTTTCAGACTTACTTTCCTGCACTGGGAAGGGAATCTTATAGGGCAGTTCCATAGTGACTTTGTTCAGCTTCACCTATGCTACAGTCGGCACAACATGTGTTTAGTATCAGTGTTGCCTGGTTTGTAATGGTAAACAAACCCCTTCTAAGTATGTAGGAAACCAGGTGGTTCAGTGTTTACCTTGTGTGCATTTAAACAATCTGCAGTCTTATCTGTGGATTGCAAAGGTGTTTTAATCTGTAATATAAAAAACAGTTTAAGAAATAGTTTCCTTAAAACATTTTATTCCTATAACTCAGTAGGATGTATGAACTTGGGCAAATTGCAGTTTATATAAAGGGATGAATTAAGGAGTCTTGATCTGTCATCTGAATACTCCTTAATTTCAGATTTTTGTATCTTAACTTAATGGATTTTTACTCTTCAGATAAACACATGAAGGACCTGTTATCCAAACTTCTAGACTCTGGCTACTTTGAAAGTATTCCAACTCCTCGCACCACTGTGACAGTAAAAGAATTGGAAGAAGAAGTAAATAGAAAATCTGAGAGAACAAGACAGTTGTCAAAAGGAGAGTCTGTCAAAGAACCAGGTAGAATATTACATGGTTCAGTTTTTGTAGTGTATTGTTGGGATAAGCTTGAAGTCACAATTGATTTCGCATAGTTTGATGCTGAATCTAATCCTGTGCTGTAACTTATTTGCAATGTAGCAACTAAAATGGAAGCTGTAAGGCTTGCAACCCTATTCTGGCTGACATTGTAGGAAAACATCTAATTCATAGTAATAGGATGTTTTTGCCTTCTGAGCAAGCCTTCATGTTGAAGATGTGAGAAATT